ACCTTACCAAACATGATATCCTTCTCCAGCAATTGGTCCCTCCTGACAATATGTCCAAAGTATGAGAGACGAAGTTTGGCCATATTAGCCTCCAAGGAGCACTCTGGCTACACTTCTTCCAAAACGGATCTATTGGTTCTTTTGGCAGCCCATGACACTTAAAGATTATAGCCTTAGAAATCCTATGGAGAGCAATTCTACTCTGTCCTTTAGGGTTGCTTATGAGTCGGAATCAACTAGACAGCTCTGGGTTTAGGACGTGATTGTAAATGGGCCAATGAAGAGACATAAGTAGGAACCCTGACCTGTAATACGGATTTGATCTTGAGGGAAAATGTGAAACTCTCCATGATTTTAAGGGTATACTATGGATTTCTAGAGTAAGCACTCTACTGCAAAGCACAAGGTTCACAGTTTGAGCTTACCAACTGCTCCTTGGGAGAAAGATGAAGATTTCTACTCCATCAAAGACAGACAGTCTTGGAAACTCTATACCGGGTCGCTATAAGCTGGACAGTACTTAACAACAACAATAATACATGATATTAATCAAGGAACTAATATGATTTCATTTGTGTTTTGGAACTTCAGGGTGGTATTCAGCTACTAAGCAAAAGCTTGGTGGTTTGAGTCCACTTTGGCAGACAGTTCTCGTGATCTGCTTCTGAAAACGCAGCCATTGAAACCCCTATGGAGCAGTTCTGCTCTGACACACGTCAGATTTGACTTGACAGCAACTGGGTAGTTTTTTTGTTTTTGCTTTTTAGAAAACCATCACATTGATTCCAACCAGGAGAAATCATAGGGTGAGGGTTCTTGAGAATAAGACTGGAGACAGGAGGCCCCCTAAGTGACTGTCACTATGCTCAAGGTGACAGAAGATGGCAGCCTCCCCTCAGCAGGGGCATGAAAAGAAATGGACAGTTTCAAAAGGTGCTCACAAGGGATCGATGGTCCTTCTCAGTGATCCTCAAAATAAGTGGAATTCATGTAATTCTCCATATCTGGATTTAGCAGCGCTAGGAGCCTATGCTTCTACTAAGCACACTGTGGAGTAATCAAATTAGAAATCTCTCCAAAGCGCTCCACCTACATCTTCAGCTTTCTTCCTGCTGAAGGAAATATGGAGCAAGCCTGCCCTCATTCAAGAGAGCAGTAACTAATGGAGCTGATTGAACTTAGCTTTTGGAAGGGAGGTGGCATTCAGCATCCAGGCTCCCTGGTCTCCAAATATTTTGTGCAAATAAACCAGTTTCATTTGTCTCAGGGCACCTTTTTAAGGCCAACTTCTTGCAACTTGCCTGAAAATGTTTCTCAGTGGTGTGTTTGAAGCTTGGCTCCATCTCCTTGTCTGGAACAAATCTTTTATTACTAGGAAATAGCTGGATGATGATCCTGAACTCTTGGACTCTTCCCCTCTCAGCTGTTGACTCGGTATTTGATACCTTGATGCTTTTCAGATTAACCTGGCCCCTCTCCTGCCTGTTTCTCAGCTAGTATGAATTTCATACCGGAAGCTGAATTGCACGCCCGATAGCACGCCCGTCTCTAGCTAGATGGTTAGGATTAACACTGGTTTCTTTAAGACTCTTCCAAGATGTATCTGAGGCACATATGTTGTTTTCTTTGCTCACCTCCTGGACTCGTATGATTTTCCTTTGGTGCGATGGTCATGCTTTCCACCGCAACCTAAAATCATCCAGATGACAGGAATATCATGTTGCTCGTTTCACATGGGAAAGGCACAACTCACCCTCCTCTTGTTCAAGTTGCATTTAAATCTAATTTCCATGGCCCCTGCAAATGGGAGCTTCGCAGCCCCTGTGTCAGCTGTTGAAGTTTAGCAATACCATTTCTAAACATGGGCCAGTAGGCAGCCAGCAAGAACTAGACAGCTGAGTGCTGACAGAAAAAGTCTCAGACACCTATAGTAGTCCAAAACAGTGACTCATCCCACTATTGCTAGGATAAATATGGGAATCAGTGGTATTTTTCTCTAAGCAGGAAGAATTGTCAAAATGCTTATCACTTTATAAAACATAACAGTCTGGGCTTGTTCATGTTTTGAAATATTCCAAACATTCACTAACTTCGTTTATGTTTTTGTTTTGAAAATGAGTCTGGTTACAGCTAAAGCTTGAGTTTCTTCTTTCTAGGAGACCTGGGGACCTTTCCAGGAGTTTCCAGAATGTGCTGCCACCCGAGCTCTGGATCCAGCTGGCCGTAGTGGCCTGCGGCAGTCGGCTGGAAGAGACGCTGGTCATGCTCAAGTCCGCCGTGCTTTTTAGCCACAGGAAGATTCTATTTCACATCTTCACCGAAGAAGCTCTGAAGCCCGAGTTTGATAAACAGGTGAATTTGTAGAAAATGTGGCAAGAATGTATCCTGCGTGCAGACAGGCTGCATTTTGGGAAGTGTGTCTCATGTTCAGTAATGTGTCTTCCTGCATGTGCTGTTTTGTGGCCATGAACATTTGACGCTGAGGATGCTGGGCTGTCCTCTCCTTGTTCACAGTGGAGGGCTAACTGCACCTAGCTCCTGGAGATAGGGTGAGGATTAAATGTGAAGCCGGGCTTGATGTCTCAGTCCTTGACGGTGTCAGTATTGATGCTCTCATCTCAAGGGGAGGTAGCTTGTTGTTTTCATACTTACATATATTAAAGTGACAAGTAAGATATATGTTTGTTGAAATCATTTGAAACATCGTTATCAATTAAAAGATGGAAGTCCACACTACTTTTTAGTACCACACAAGAATTAACCAGAATTCATCATTTGGAGTGATTCTTCAATAAGTTTTTCTTTTTATGTATACAGATGGGTATGTGTATGTGTGCAATTATGTCTGTATGTGTGTATTTATGAAGGGGCTTCAAAAAGTTTGTAGGAAAATGAAATGAAAAGATATTGAGATTTTTCCATGAACTTTTGAAGCTGCCTCATATAGACACACGCACACATACATTTATGTCAATTGTGGATCAGATCATTGTGGTTCCATGGTTTTCATTGGCTGAGTTTTAGAGTCGATTGCCATTTCTTCCGAATTCATCTTGGTTTGAGTCCTCTGCTGAGACCTGTTTATCATCGTAGCTACACCTAAGACTCCACTGATAGGTGAGTGGTGATTCTGTGTGAGGTGCATTGGGTGAGGACTTCTGGCGTGACGCTGTGGATTCACAGCAAACCACAAGGCTAGTGGTGCAAACCCGCTAGCTGCTCCTCAGAAAACAAATACAAGGTCGCTATGAGTTGAAACCAACTCCACAGCACTTAACACCACCACCAACATGCCTACGAGGGAGTCACGGTGTAGCGCTGTTATGATCAGCACTGGACTGCTAACCACAAGGTCGGTGGTTCAAACCCACCAGCTGCTCCTAGGATCCTATACAGGGTTGTTATGAGTTGACAACAACTCCTGTATGCAAAGTGAGAATTCTACCGCTGAACCACCATTGTTGTTGTGAAGTGTCTTTGAGTTGGTTCCAACTCATAGCTACCCTCTACAAGGTTTCCAAGGAGCAGCTGGTGGGCTTGAACTGCAGACCTTATGGTTCGCAGTCTAGTACTACACGAGAACCCATTGTGTATGTGTGTGTGATCCATCCATATATATGAGGGGGCTTCAAAACTTCATGGCAAAATGGAATGAAAAGATAAAGGATTTTTCCCACCAACTTTTTGCAGTCTCTCTAGTATGTAAACAGATTGAAATGTATTTATTTTACAAAATTAGGATTATTCACTCTATGTTGTTCTGGAACTTGTTTTACACATTGAAGAAGACCATCTCAGAAGCGTTATGCCAGGTCCTCACTCAGACAGTCTTACCTCATCCTTTCTAGTTACTGTTGTTGTTGTTGTTTAGTGCCGTTGACTTGGTTCTGACTCATTGTGACCTGTATAGGGTTTATGAAGTGCAGCTGGTGAGTTTGAACCACCGACCTTGTGGTTCAAACCAACCTTGTTTTATCCCACAGTGCCACATCCTACAAAGATGTAAAGCCTTGGAGATCCTATACAGGGTTGCTGTGAGTTGGAGCAGACTCAGCAGGCACTTGACAACAACAACATGAATAACAGAGGCACCCTGTTAATGCTGTGGGTTAGGCACTGTGCTGCTAACTGCGAGGTCGATGGTTCAAACCCATCAGCTGCTCTGTGTGATGAAGATGAGACTGTGGTCGTTAAGATTTACAGCCTCAGAAACCCTACATCGAATTACTCTGAGTTGGAATCAACTAAATAGTAGTGGAGTTTTTCAGTTTGCTTGTTTATACTGATTAACAAGTGTTGACTTTATACCAAAACATGGAAAGATCTGTGGAAAATATTCTTCTCTACAGCTTAGGTACATGCAAGACCTTAGGAGATCAAGCTTTGTTTTTCTTTAAATTTTTCTCTTTCAGTGAGTTCCCGAGTGCTAGCAGATCAAGAACTGATTTTATTTCGTATCCACTGACTGACTTGAGTTGACAGTCCTGCATCCTGTTCCCAGGCTAGCACTAATGAGAAATGCCAAAAAGACATGTTGGACAGAGAAAGGTTAATAACAGAAAGCTAGAAAACCTGTCATGCTTTCTAAAGGGGAAGAAAAATTTACCTTGACATCTTCACCAAGAGAAGTCAGGGAAACAGATAGTCTTGGTGTTTTGAAATTGATTGGGAAAATGCCTTGTAAAAGATGTGAGTCAGGGAAGGGGTATGTCGGAAGCACTCATAGTTAATTGCTCTGAAGCTGTGGTGGGAGGAAAATGATGAGGATAATAATATACACTACTTACCAAAGACTAGGGAGTCCTGGTGGGGTGCTGTGGGTTAATGTGCCAGACTGCAAAGCCATTTGAACTGCAAGGTCGGCGGTTCAAATTCACCAGCTGTTCCTCAGAAACCCTATACAGGGTCACTGGGGGTCGTAATCAACTCAACGGCAATTAACAACAACAATAACCAAAGACTGGAGTTACTGGGTGACACAAACGGTGAAGTGCTCAGCTACTGACCAAAGGTTGACAGTTTGAGTCCACCCAGAGGTGTCTCAGGAGAAAGACCTGGCTCTCTGCATCTGAAAGATCACAGCCGTTGGAAACTCTGTGAGCTCGGACTTCCTCTGACACACAAGTGGGCTGCCGGGAGTCGGACTTGACTTGATGGCAGCTAGTCTTGTTTTCAGTCAAGGAATTACGATCTATGATATAACCTCATTGAATCCTCACAACAACCTTCTGAAGAAGGTAACAATCCTGCCCACCCCCACTGTACAAACTGAGATAATTAAGGCCTAGAGAAATGGTCTCATCAAGGTGTTACTTCAAGTTTACTGCCTTGAAACTCTGTGAATGTGACCTGAGAAAACTCTGTTTTCTGAACTGATAACTGAAATTCTAAGTCTAGATCCCCAGTTTACTTGTAGTGTGATCTTGAATGAGTCAGAGCAGCCATTTTGAGCATTAGTTCCCTCATCTGCAACTTGGGGCAAACAAGGGATGATGTTGTTGTCATCAGGATAGGCCACGTCATGGTGCTGCAACAGAGAACCTCCCTAAAGCTCTGAGAGTCTCCCCACTCCTACTGCATTACCTCACACATGCGCAGGGTCTGTGTTCAACGCACCCACTCTGGGACAGTGACTCATGCTTAGAGTTGCACCGGCTGGAACATTTGACACTTGCAGGCCTTTGGATGTTGTGGCAGGAAGGAAAGAGACAAGAGAATCACAACTGTGCTTTTTACTACCCACTCTTGACAGCATCACTGGTCTTCTCCACGGAAAGTTCACTGGCTAGAAACAGGCACAAGGCTCACCCAACTGCAAGAGGATGTTGAAGTGTGATGTTTGTGTGCACCAAGAGAAAAGAACTACATGTTGACAAACAGTATTTATTGATTGCCTGATGCGTGCTCTGACTTGGGGCTTAGGGTGGATGGAATAGGACAAAATGCAGACTTGGTCTTTAAAAAGATAAGGAGAAGGAAGGTGTTTGTGTATGACTATACATGTGTGCTTACATTTCCCAAAGTGCCTCCTGTGGTCCCCACCCTCTGCCGTTTAAACCTTTGTGTGGTTACTACCACATGGTAACAACGTGATCTGTGTGACCAATAGCAGACAGCAAGTCTGTCACTGCCTAGATAAGGTGATGTAATGTCCTGCACCTTCCATCTTGCTTCCACTCTCTTTGTCTCCAAGAAGGAAGACAGCTGCCATGTTCAAGGAGCCCTTGGGAAAGGCTAACATGATAGGGAACTGAGGCCTTTTGCCCATACCCCTGTGTGTGAGTTTGGAAGTTGATTTTCCTGCCCCTCAAACTTCAGCCAACAGCTGGACTGTGCCTCATGAGAGATCTGGAGTAGGAACAGCCCAGCTCCCAGATTCCTGACATATGACAATAGATAAACACAAATACAGTGAAACCAGTGAATGCTGGAACCTGTATGATGTGGTTAACTGTCAGAGAAGAAAAAATATTTTTTACTAAAAGAAGTGATAGAAAAATGGTAAGACTGCATCCTGTCAGAAAACTTGTGAGACCCAGAGGGACAAGGCAGTTCTGTTGAGTCCCATTGTATGTATAATTTACAATGTAAATGACAATGTAAATTGTATACATATGGTGTTGCTAAGTGCCATTGAGTTGGTTCCAACTCATAGCAACACAGTAAAGGGTTTCTGAGGAGTAGTTGGTGGGTTTGAACTGCTGACCTTGTGGTCCAAACCAATCTTATGGTAGAGTGTTTACCCTATAGCGCCACATCAGGACTCCATGTATCCTATATTGTTGTTGCTGTTGTTAGGTGCAGTTGAGTCTGTTCCGAATCATGGCGACCCTGTATAGGGTTTTTGAGGAGCGTTTGGTGAGCTTGAATCACTGACTGTGTGGTTCAAATCGACCCTTGAGGTCTAGTGCATTAACTTGAAATGCTACTTTATAAGTGTATATAATTTATAAAATATAAATGTATTTATGGATGTGTGCATTGTTGTTGTTAAGTGCCTTTGAATTGGTTCCAACTCATAGTGACCCTGTATGAGCAGAAAGCCTCATCTTTCTTCCATAGAGCAGCTGGCAGGCTTGAACCACAGAC